AGTTCGTCTTTAATATTGCCATTTAAAGCTTTGAAATATGCACTTTTGAGAGCACATTGATTCCATCCGGAAGCTGCGGCTTTGACCCGAAAGTTGATGGAGAAATCCGCTACAGAGGAATTTCCCTGTCTAAGATTCAAAAGAGCAAGAGAGTCGATTGTTTGGTCAGATTCTTGGTTAAACACTTGGGAAAATTCAGAAACAAAATCGGAAAAATCACATCTGAGGCTGTCTTCGGAGGCAAACCTTGCCTCCGCCCACTCTAGGGCTCGTCCGGTTAGTTGGGACAGAATAAATTTTATCTTTTTCTGATCAGTTGGGAAACTGCCAGGAGAGTTCTGAAAAATAAGTCTGCACTGAAACAAAAATCCTTTACAGTCTTTCATATTACCTGAAAAGGTCGGAACTCAGGTGATGACGTCACAGCCGGTGACCTCGGAGGCGGAACTGGTCCCGGAAAAGGTTGTGCCGCCGACGTGGCGTTAGTACTGCTCATGTAGTTAGCATAGTTCTGAAGCATTTGGTTATGGTAATTGACCATGTTATGTAACTCACGCAGGGTTTGGGTCTGTCCTTGGATTTGAGCGTCTTGCTCCTCCAGCCTACGACGGAGGTGGTCTGCTGGGCCTTGTGTTTGGCCGCAGTGTTCTGTCATGATTGATAATCAGAGCTAGCCCAAAATGCAGAACACAACGGAGTCTGATGAAAAGTTTAACAGAGTTTATTAAAGCACAAGCACATGAGTGATAACACTGGAACTGGTTCAGGCCGGGAGGCAGGTTCACTGGAGTCTGTAAGGATGACAGTTCAGTTAGCTCTGGGACTGAAGAGTTTGAGTTTGAGAGTTGCTGAAGAATACCTTGAGGAGTCCGGGTTATACTTTGAGAGAGGAACTGTTGGGTCCAGAGACTGTTTAGTTCAGCAGAGTCCAATAACCGCTTCAGCGTCTTACTTCTGACTTGAGGGCAGACCTTGGTTTGGGTTTCCAGCTCTTAGCCAAGAGCTGCAGGGGAATCCAGTGAAGAGTCTTCAGGTTTGGCTCAGAGGGCAGACTCGGCAGGTTAAGCTCATCCAGAGCTTCAAGGAGTGACAGAATTCCTGTGAGGCAGAGACAAGGAGGTGTTAGAATCTTATCTCAACAGAGATAGCTAGATTCTCAGG